TACAGCCGTGATTGACACGTTTCGATCCTCGATGCTAGTGAGTTGTTCTCGTGGCAGTAGTAAAGGGGTATGTAGGACCGGCATGAAAGCGAGGCTGTAAAATATTTTTGGATATGTCACACAAATAATAGTCACACGTGAAGAAAAGAAAGGTCCTTTGTGCGAATGGAAGTTTTTTTTAGGCGGGAACTGCCATGAAAGTGGGGCTGTAAGATATTTTTTGGGTATGTCACGCAAATAACAGTCACACATGAAGAAAAAAAAAGTCCTGTGTGCATGTGGTAAGTATTTTTAGGCGGGAACTGACTAGTCGGTTGAAAGTGAGGCTCTATGAAATTTTTGGATTTCACGCAAAAATGTCAAACAAGAAGAAAAAATGGGAAACCACGTTATGCGTCTGAAGTGCCTAACCATGACTCAAAATTTTTAATGGGTTCTTCCTAGACGTTTCAGTGCAGTCACAGTTGTGACACCACTGAATCTGTCTTGTCAATGATGTCGTGTCCAAAATGTAAACACGCCGCTGTATCTGTTTACACACGTGTTTCACTTTATTAAGATAGGAAAAAAGATCCGAGCGTATGGGCACGATTTTGAAGAAGTCATGCATGCGTATGACAATTGGAAGAATCCGATGAGAGATGTCACTGATTTGATCGGACAACTGGAAGCGTTGACAGGTGTCAAATATTCGCCTCGATGGTATAATATTCTCGAAAGAAACAGGAGACACACATTGGACCACTAACTGTTTACATGTAAAGGCATGCGTCAGTTATTTGTTTACCCATTGGTTTTATTTTATTGAGATTGGAAAAAAGATACATGCGTGTGGGCACGATTTTGAAGAGGTCATGCATGCGTATGATAATTGGAAGAATCCGATGACAGGAGACACACATTGGACTAAAAAGAAACCAATAGAAAAACAGAGAAGGATTGAATATAAGAGCGACAACATTGTAGTGCGGCATTCATTTTTCGAAAACAAGATGTGTGATGTGAGAGACAATCCTCGTTGGGCTTTGAGTCATGTAGATGATATGTTGGATATCTTGGAGAATCATGCAGACGAGTGTGCTAACGATAATCTTACGTCATCATGAAAAAAGCAGTGAAACAATTCGTTTAAAGCATAAACACGATTCATTGTTTAAGGTTTTCACTGTTTGATATTGATTGACACAAGATGTACAATAGAATTTCTTTTCAAGTGCCCTCACCCTTTTACACCAAACATCGCGGTTCCATTCTAGAGTACGACATCTTTCTTTCCATAACTCTACCGATTTATTAGCTTCGATCAATAATTGCTTGATCTCACTCTTGAAGTCTCTGAATGATGTGATCTATCTGTCGAGGAAGATAGTCTTTTCTGAGATGCATCACTCGTACCCTCCATCGGACTTCTGAGGTGATCTCTTGACGTCTTTGACATGATGTACATTGATGACAAGTACAAGTAAAATCGTAAGGATAGATGGATTCGGGCATTTACTTCTTAGGAGTGACAATCTTGTAAAGTGGTTGTTTCAAAGCCGGTATATGTTTCAATAAAGAAATCACCGTCGTATTCTTTCGAAGACAAAGTCCTTGTGGTCCTTGTTGTTTCTTTTTGACAAAATTTTTAGGATCCCAAGTCGTGGTAGACTTTGTCTTGGGAGACGGCTTCGCCGTCTTCTTCTGGCTCTTGGGATTCTTCTTGGCGGCGGCTCCGGAGGCAGGACGCGATGAACTGTGGCTTTTTCTTTAACGCGAAGGTTCATTAAACACAGCTGGATCGTTCTCGTCCAATAAGGCGTTCATACGTGCCGCTTCTTGTAATTCAGGATCGTTTTGCACTTGAGCTGTCACGTCGTGTATAATATTGTCAAAGGCTGGTTGGGTTGTTTGCATTCCCGGCGTAGGTGCCCCCGCGTCAAATTTGGTACCGTTGGAAGCGGTTGAGATGCGAATAATTATACACGTCGGGACATTTTTTGTCGTCTTTATAGACTTTTTTTAACGGACACGTCTAAAATGTAATGTGAGAATGGAGGCGCCGTCGATAAACTGAGCCAGATTGTTGTTTTCCGATTCACTCATCTGTATTTCGATTTCGTCAATGTAATTGTTTCGCAGAGGAATTCATTGGATCTTTTTGGGTTCGTAGTAATAACTTCCTTCTAAGACAGGGTGATAATAATTCTGTCGCAACAGGTCTGTCGTCTGATCACCCATGAGGACGGGAACACCAAACGAGGCACGAATCTTTTGCTAGCACGCTCTACCTGTACTCGTCTCTCTGTGCTCTGTGCAACTTTATTTTCATATTATTTTATCATATACGTCACTTTTTCTTACACGCGACTTAATTTTTTATCAGATCAGATCTTACACGCCTGAATATGATTTACCAGCTGTAAACTGGATGCGTTCTTTTGCACTGAATCATCGATTGTCAAGAATACCATTCAAAGTTACATCTACGCTATAAAGTTATACTTACATCAAAATTTTTTTTTATTAGTACATGTCAAACTTTGTGATGAGTTTCAACAACAATTTTCAGAAACCTGTGGTACAAATCCTGAAACCGCCTTTTATGATTTAGTTTTTGATCATCTAGTATCACCTTGCATTAATGAGTTTCTTGGATTATATTCACAATATCATCGAGGAATGCGATGTTATCCTCATGTAAACTTTTTTATGGGAGTACGATTATCTGCACTCGATAGATATTATCGTCATTAAATTAAATCATTTTTTCTTTTAGATCAGTACTAGAGAACGTCATGCTATTCACGAATTATTATTTTGTATTTTATTGAAAATAAGAAGGAGAGGCATGAATCTAGCTTTTCAATTTAATAACGTAGAGTTTTATATCAAAGTGAATCGTGTTTATGCTTTAAACGAATTGTTTCACTGCTTTTTTCATGATGACGTAAGATTATCTTTAGGATATAACACGATGTTAGAATTCATTTTACATGTAAATAATATGGTAACCATTTGTACTTTCTGACTTTTTTAGATGAATGTAAACCACTTATACCACCCTGAAGAAATTGAAGATCTTTACGCAATATTCTGCTTGATTGTAACTGAATTAAGAACAGAAGGATTCAATCTATCTTTTCAATTTGAAAATATCGATTTTTTAAGAAATGTACTTCGTGTGTATGATTTATATACATGGTTTCGTTTTTTTTTTATGATGAAGTGGGAAGACGCTCAGAGTATTATTGGTTAGCCAACTTCTTAATTCATTAAGTGTAGGTGATACAGTAACCATCTTCACTTTTTGATTTTTTCAGACTGAATTTCCCGTGGAAGATTTTCGTCAATTCTTTAATGCGTTGCATGCGTTTTTAATGAGTGAGCATGAAGAATTGTTATTACTGTTTACGAACGTCAACTTTTTCACTTTTGTCAATGCGTATATGCTCAATCTTTCAATAGTTCAATATGGCTTTACTAATTATGAAGATCCACCCGTGATTGAAAATGCAGATTGGTTAAGATTGGTTAACTACATTTAATAATAGACATGTACACAATTCCATCATTCATTTCTATTCGTTACCCATATAACTATTTTTAATTTGATGTATATCTACATGATCTAAAAAGTATAATAAAAAGAAAAAAAATGTGTCTTAATAGTCTTTGTCGTGGTATGCAGAATCTAACCCAGCTGCGATTTCTTCATTCCATGATGCGCCGTAGACCCATCCATGTCTCATCCCTGTCGGTTCGTAAATATGATGTAAAGCCGCATAAAATACAAGTTCACGATGTCTCTCTCGTAATTTTAAGTCTTCAATCATAGCTTTGAAGTTTTCAATGTCTTTACATTACATCAAATCCACTCTACATAAATGGCATTGTCAATCACTGTCTGAATACTCTCGGTTCTTTTCTCTTTCTTTTAACAACGTGACAAAGTCTGCAAAGGCCTCAATTACACGACTCCTTTTTTCCATAAACACCGGACCTTCATTATCTGCAGGTAAGAGATAATATTCATATCCTCTCAAGATTCTTTTCATGTCACACTCGTCTGCATGATTCTCCAAGATATCCAACATATCATTTACATGACTCAAAGCCCAACGAGGATTGTCTCTCACATCACACATCTTGTTTTCGAAAAATGAATGCCGCACTACAATGTTGTCGCTCTTATATTCAATCCCTCTCTGTTTTTCTATTGGTTTCTTTTTTGTCCAATGTGTGTCTCCTGTTTCTTTCCACAATATCATACCATCGAGGTGAATATTTGACCACTGTCAGCGCTTCCAGTTGTCCGATCAAATCAGTGACATCTTTCATCGGATCCTTCCAATTATCATACGCATGCATGACCAATGTATGTCTCCTGTTAAAAATCGTGCCCACACGCACGTATCTTTTTTCCAATCTCAATAAAATAAAACCAATGGGTAAACAAATAACTGACGCAAACAGTTAGTGGTCCAATGTGTCTCCTGTTTCTTTCGAGAATATTATACCATCGGGGCGAATATTTGACACCTTTCAACGCTTCCAGGTGTCCGATCAATTTACTACATACATAGGAAGGGCTTTTCTTACAATTTCGCCATGACTGTTATTTCGCAAAATAATCATGACACAGCTAGAGCTTAGGTTGCCTGTGGGTGTTATGGCAAAAGACCTACTAATGACTCGCTAGCATGTTGCTAAAGGGCATGTAAACCCAAAAAACATTCATTTTCTTTTCACATAGATGTTTAGTAAATATATCAAGTACACCAAAGGTACCATTCGTTTATTCTCAAATTCCATTTTCACTTTGTAAAAGCTCTTCCAAATTCGAAACATTCGCCATCTTGAATGGCGCCATCTTTCCTGTGACGTCACGGGTGGACCCTTCAAAGTCTCGTTTTATAATCGCGTGAGGTACGAAGGAGTCTTTTCTACAGCCGTTGTTTGCTTGTCTCGTCATGATTTTTTTACTTACAGTTTACTTCAATATAATCGATTTTTTCGTCATGGTGAAGCGTTGTGCCGTCCAGTTTTGTACTGATTCAAACAAAACTGGGCATACAATGCAAATATTTCCAAATGACGCAAATTTGAAGCGACAATTTGTGAAATTTGTTCAAGTGAAAATAGCCGATTTCGTCGAGCCGTTCGAACGTTCTGTTGTTTGTAGCAGTCATTTTTCTTCCTGGTGCTGTACCGACGATTCAGGCCTCACCAGAAGCAAATTATTCGGAAGACGAAAAACAACCCATACAGTCGGCAGACGACGAGGATTCGGAAGTGGCTGACCAAACTGAGAAAGAAGTTGAGCTCTTCAAAAGTTAGAGGTCAACAGAGAAAGTACAAAATCGATTTACATGAGAACGTTTCGTTAATTAAACAACAATAGCTTTATTGGTTCTCTAAAAACATCTTTTTTCTCATCTAATGAAAGATTATGGGGAAGCCAGTTGTTTGGGAGCCAGCGCTGAGCCCGTAAAAGACACTGACATGTCTGAACCTTTGCCTGAATTCGAAACACGTATCAAAGAGAGAGAATTCGTTGATATCAGTGTGTAATAACGTGATCTGGAATTTTGTCGGTTCTATACAAAGAATTCTATACAGGATCCCATAATCAACCCTTATGTTCTATAAGAAAATCCATGCCAGCCCCACTTAGTGCTTCCTTTGAGAAACCCTGCAGAGAAACAGCAGAAGAATTTGTGTCGCGGTTTTCACAGCAGTGAAAATACATTCAAAGGTCAGTAGGACAATATTCATCATTTTGAGTTGATTTCAGCTTGCAAAACTATCTTTTCAATATTTCAAATCGAAGCAAACACAAACAGGGTTGGATAATTATGAAGGCCACACAAGGAAATGTACATGATACAACTTGTTTATCGATGGAAATGCTTCTGAGATGAAGGATATTGTTTACCGCACAAGATAGCACAGCGACCCTAAAGTGTTTGCCGAGATATCCCCAACACCAACGAACAAGCTATCTGTAGGCAATTTAGCGAAATTTCCTGCCAGGAAAGAAGCGAAAAACAACTAACTGTAGTACTGTATTATTAAATCAATGGCAGAAACAACTCAAGTAAATCTATCTCAAAATGTAACAAAACAGATGAAACAGAAAATATTTAGCTCAGTCGTTTCCGGTGTGATTATCTGTGCTTTGCTGCTGCCTGTAAGCGTACTTGGCCGTCTCCAGCACCCAGAAATCGAGGCAAATTGACTGAAAACCTGGATGCTCAGTGATACAACTTATCTGGGTTTCAGGCCATTTTGTCACAATTGCCCGATTTCCGTACAACAAACACTTTCATGAGTTGTCGGCATTGGTTGACAAGTTCCACACTCGCACCTTTGATAATTTTATATAAAACACTCTCGGAAGCTCAAGTTCAAAAAATTCTGTTGCATTCCTTTAGATTGTACCCTCGCTTTATTGCATTTTCATGTTAAATACAAATAAATCACAAAGTAAATTAAATACCAGTCTGAGTTTCCGAGACGGTCGCATCGCTGTCCATGTTCTGTACTGTCTTGGTGCGGATCGCTTCGGTGAACCCTACGCGGCTCATATTGTTAAGGACGTGGCCCAGACTCTCCTGAAGATTCTGGATTATCCCCAGCGCTGTCATGTACTAAGCTTAAGGCATTCGAGTCGCTATCTTCTGAAAAAACATCATCCGAACTACCGCTACTTACACGAACTCCCACACCAGTTCTGCTGGGGAATATGTGTTGCGCAATATTTTGGTTCCACCGCTTACGTCACGACTTCTCGCTATTGTTTTTACCGGAAATGGAATTTCAGTTGAAAATGCCGATTTTCTCCTAAAATAAGTCGAATTGGACAAAACTAATTTCAAATTAGTTTTCTACGCCACTTTTTACATAGTATAAGAAAAATATGTATTTTTGAGTTTACATAATCCCTTTAAGGATTACAAATTTACAAGACGTGAACCGGGAGTCCATGAAGTACAACCATGCGTACAGTTTGTGGATTACTTCTGTGGAACACCTTCAGTTTTTGAAGATGAGCACTCATCATTCCACATCTGACCAAGATAAACAGGTGTATGACGTTTAGTGCTCCTATTCAGGGACGTAGGTAGGAACACAGGGGTGGTATATACCCCCCCTCCCCTCCCCCCCCCGACCATTTATGTTTGTCTGTTACCATTTATACACCCGTAGTGACCATACTATGCATAAATTTGGCGTGGCTGTACATGTTGGGAGTTACTACATCACGGGCGACGAGCGGGGATAGAAAAAACGACCCAAATACGAGTGGTCAGTGGTGAAACAACTTTCATACCTCATATATAGACACATCGTTTGTAGTATCAGGAAACAATCGTGTTGTAAAGCCGAAGTGTAAACAGTTTACTTCGCTAAAATCTGTTGTGGTTTTTCTCTTTTGAATGGCTTTCTGTAAGTACATAACACGTGGAGTTCAATGCCTGAAATGAAACTAACACATCATCCATCTCTGCTCTGTTTCCCTCGAAATATCCAAAACAATAATTGCCTTCAACAGAAAAGCCATTGAGATGTTCTTTCAAAAAGTCGATCTCTAAATCTCTTAACTTTGTTGGCTTTTGGTCTTCATCCATGGCAAAATCTTCCAGGAAAAGTAAACTACAGTGCGAAAACCAAGTTCCTGCCAAATTTGATTGACATTTTTGACAACCGGAAATCATGATACTTTTCGTCACGCACGTCACGCAGCTAGCTACAAACCATATATATAATTATTCTTGGTGCCTTTCCAAATGCCATTGACTCCCTCTCCGAAGCCTCCATTGTTTATTAAAGCAGTAAAAGATATGAGTTCAATCAACACTTTTGAAAAATTGCTTAAACTGTGAAGTAAACTGTTAACATTTCGGCTTTACAACACGATTGTCTCTGGAACAACAAATTGTATGTCTCTATATGAGGTATAAAAGCTGTTTCACCGCTGACCGCTCATATTTGGGTCGTTTTTTCTATCCCCGCTCGTCGCCCGTGATGTAGTAACTTCCGTACATGTGCGGTGTAGCACGAGGAGTTCAACTTCGACGCAAATAGGAGTCTCAAAAATGAATCGTTTGCTGTTCACTCTGACCGTTGTCGTTCTGATGGCTGCACACGGTGAGTACTGTGCAACTTTGGAATTTGAAAGGTAGATTTATCGCACAGGAAATGTTGTGTCTTATTAAAAGCATCGCTGAATGATGCGACACTGAAACATATTAAACTGCCGCAAAATAACCGTCAAGTATTTTCGTTGGCTTCGGCCGCCAGCATGACAGGCTTTCTTCCCGTCAACCGTACAGTAATCCTTGAAAATGCATGTAACAGCTTTTGTTTATGTTTTGGTATGAAAATATATAATCTTAAGCTGAACCAGGAGAAGAAATCCGCGTTGAAAATCATCCAGGTCTCAGTTAGCTTTCATTGTTTCCAAATGATTTCTGTGATATGGATGGACTCTGATTTAGGCTCGACTTGATTTGTTCAGAATCATAACTCAGTCCTAGCGCTCTTTTCTGTTTGTTCTTTGAAATTTTGGGGATGTATGAATGTGGTTTGGATTACCGCTTAACTTGATCTTCTTTAGGACACTAAAGAAAATTTTATGCGAAATTATTTTATGCAAAATTGTATGCAAATTAGCTGGTGGCGCATTGAATGTGCAGTTTTCTAGCAGTCGTGTAGGTCTGAATATGTTTCTTTTTGCAACTTGTGAATATACTGTCGTTTTTGAACTGTATTTTCCTTCATCAATTGAGATTTCAACAGTCCAAATATCTTTTATAACATAGCGTGCGTGCTTGCCCTATATAAGTCCTACTGGGAAAGCGTACTCCGACATCCGTCAGAAGGAGGTCATCTCGGGTAGATTTCCGATTACGAAATCTGAGCTCGCCCGATGTTGTCTTCGTGATGAAGGCCCCATTTAGCATATAAGACCACAGGCGGCCCAAGCTCCAGCTGTGAGGTGATCATCTTACGCAATAACGGTCATGGCGGAATTATAAGAGTTTGTATGGGAATATTTACGACCGCTCTAAGGAATAAAAAAATACGTCAAATTCTCAAAAAAAAATACCTCACCTCGCTTCCACAGCGTATTGCTTGTTATCTGACCGCTTACTTTGATCAAAAGAGCCCATTTGAGCGAGTTGTTCATTTCGAGGTTTTCAACGTACATAAGAAAAGCCCTTTCCTTTTGACGTATTTTTTATTCCTTAGAGCGGTCGTAAATATTCCCATACAAACTCTTATAATTCCGCCATGACCGTTATTGCGTAAGATGATCACCTCACAGCTGGAGCTTGGGCCGCCTGTGGTCTTATATGCTAAATGGGGCCTTCATCACGAAGACAACATCGGGCGAGCTCAGATTTCGTAATCGGAAATCTACCCGAGATGACCTCCTTCTGACGGATGTCGGAGTACGCTTTCCCAGTAGGACTTATATAGGGCAAGCACGCACGCTATGTTATAAAAGATATTTGGACTGTTGAAATCTCAATTGATGAAGGAAAATACAGTTCAAAAACGACAGTATATTCACAAGTTGCAAAAAGAAACATATTCAGACCTACACGACTGCTAGAAAACTGCACATTCAATGCGCCACCAGCTAATTTGCATACAATTTTGCATAAAATAATTTCGCATAAAATTTTCTTTAGTGTCCTAAAGAAGATCAAGTTAAGCGGTAATCCAAACCACATTCATACATCCCCAAAATTTCAAAGAACAAACAGAAAAGAGCGCTAGGACTGAGTTATGATTCTGAACAAATCAAGTCGAGCCTAAATCAGAGTCCATCCATATCACAGAAATCATTTGGAAACAATGAAAGCTAACTGAGACCTGGATGATTTTCAACGCGGATTTCTTCTCCTGGTTCAGCTTAAGATTATATATTTTCATACCAAAACATAAACAAAAGCTGTTACATGCATTTTCAAGGATTACTGTACGGTTGACGGGAAGAAAGCCTGTCATGCTGGCGGCCGAAGCCAACGAAAATACTTGACGGTTATTTTGCGGCAGTTTAATATGTTTCAGTGTCGCATCATTCAGCGATGCTTTTAATAAGACACAACATTTCCTGTGCGATAAATCTACCTTTCAAATTCCAAAGTTGCACAGTACTCACCGTGTGCAGCCATCAGAACGACAACGGTCAGAGTGAACAGCAAACGATTCATTTTTGAGACTCCTATTTGCGTCGAAGTTGAACTCCTCGTGCTACACCGAACATGTACGGAAGTTACTACATCACGGGCGACGAGCGGGGATAGAAAAAACGACCCAAATACGAGTGGTCAGTGGTGAAACAACTTTCATACCTCATATATAGACACATCGTTTGTAGTATCAGGAAACAATCGTGTTGTAAAGCCGAAGTGTAAACAGTTTACTTCGCTAAAATCTGTTGTGGTTTTTCTCTTTTGAATGGCTTTCTGTAAGTACATAACACGTGGAGTTCAATGCCTGAAATGAAACTAACACATCATCCATCTCTGCTCTGTTTCCCTCGAAATATCCAAAACAATAATTGCCTTCAACAGAAAAGCCATTGAGATGTTCTTTCAAAAAGTCGATCTCTAAATCTCTTAACTTTGTTGGCTTTTGGTCTTCATCCATGGCAAAATCTTCCAGGAAAAGTAAACTACAGTGCGAAAACCAAGTTCCTGCCAAATTTGATTGACATTTTTGACAACCGGAAATCATGATACTTTTTTTTTCGTCACGCACGTCACGCAGCTAGCTACAAACCATATATATAATTATTCTTGGTGCCTTTCCAAATGCCATTGACTCCCTCTCCGAAGCCTCCATTGTTTATTAAAGCAGTAAAAGATATGAGTTCAATCAACACTTTTGAAAAATTGCTTAAACTGTGAAGTAAACTGTTAACATTTCGGCTTTACAACACGATTGTCTCTGGAACAACAAATTGTATGTCTCTATATGAGGTATAAAAGCTGTTTCACCGCTGACCGCTCATATTTGGGTCGTTTTTTCTATCCCCGCTCGTCGCCCGTGATGTAGTAACTTCCGTACATGTTCGGTGTAGCACGAGGAGTTCAACTTCGACGCAAATAGGAGTCTCAAAAATGAATCGTTTGCTGTTCACTCTGACCGTTGTCGTTCTGATGGCTGCACACGGTGAGTACTGTGCAACTTTGGAATTTGAAAGGTAGATTTATCGCACAGGAAATGTTGTGTCTTATTAAAAGCATCGCTGAATGATGCGACACTGAAACATATTAAACTGCCGCAAAATAACCGTCAAGTATTTTCGTTGGCTTCGGCCGCCAGCATGACAGGCTTTCTTCCCGTCAACCGTACAGTAATCCTTGAAAATGCATGTAACAGCTTTTGTTTATGTTTTGGTATGAAAATATATAATCTTAAGCTGAACCAGGAGAAGAAATCCGCGTTGAAAATCATCCAGGTCTCAGTTAGCTTTCATTGTTTCCAAATGATTTCTGTGATATGGATGGACTCTGATTTAGGCTCGACTTGATTTGTTCAGAATCATAACTCAGTCCTAGCGCTCTTTTCTGTTTGTTCTTTGAAATTTTGGGGATGTATGAATGTGGTTTGGATTACCGCTTAACTTGATCTTCTTTAGGACACTAAAGAAAATTTTATGCAAAATTATTTTATGCAAAATTGTATGCAAATTAGCTGGTGGCGCATTGAATGTGCAGTTTTCTAGCAGTCGTGTAGGTCTGAATATGTTTCTTTTTGCAACTTGTGAATATACTGTCGTTTTTGAACTGTATTTTCCTTCATCAATTGAGATTTCAACAGTCCAAATATCTTTTATAACATAGCGTGCGTGCTTGCCCTATATAAGTCCTACTGGGAAAGCGTACTCCGACATCCGTCAGAAGGAGGTCATCTCGGGTAGATTTCCGATTACGAAATCTGAGCTCGCCCGATGTTGTCTTCGTGATGAAGGCCCCATTTAGCATATAAGACCACAGGCGGCCCAAGCTCCAGCTGTGAGGTGATCATCTTACGCAATAACGGTCATGGCGGAATTATAAGAGTTTGTATGGGAATATTTACGACCGCTCTAAGGAATAAAAAATACGTCAAAAGGAAAGGGCTTTTCTTATGTACGTTGAAAACCTCGAAATGAACAACTCGCTCAAATGGGCTCTTTTGATCAAAGTAAGCGGTCAGATAACAAGCAATACGCTGTGGAAGCGAGGTGAGGTATTTTTTTTTGAGAATTTGACGTATTTTTTTATTCCTTAGAGCGGTCGTAAATATTCCCATACAAACTCTTATAATTCCGCCATGACCGTTATTGCGTAAGATAATCATCTCACAGCTGGAGCTTAGGCCGCCTGTGATAAGACCCGCAAAACAGAATAGAAACGAACAGGCGCTTCGTTTTCGCTCATGACTTCGTATTAGCCGTAAGATATTTGCTTTTTTTTTTCGTTGCTTACCTTTATTACAGACTCCACAAAATTTCTGCGAGGCCTCCTTTTCACGGATGGCCGATTACAACTACAACATAGTAACACCTCTACGAAATCTGTCAAAACTGAAAAAAACTGATTCTCAGAACTTCCCGTTAATTGTTTATTAAGATAATCGTCGAAGTGAAATATATCTATGTAGTAATTTTTATCTATGTAGAAGTCAGCTAAAAGAATTTTTAAAATGTATTCCTGAGAAACTTTTTCTTGTAGATCTTTCCCTAAGTACGCTCTTGCGTTTAGAATTAAAAATCCTCATCTAAATATTGTAAAAATATTATCGTTGAATATTTTCAATGATGATCATGGCACAACGCAGATAGAGAAAATGTAATAAGTGAGACAAGTCACGGATTATCCTTGTCGGTAAAAGTAATATCGCCTGCTACATTATAATCAAACTTAATCTCCGTCCAATCGAGGTAATGTACAATTTTTTTTATCAATTACCATATTAGAAATAACAATATATCGCTTAAACTCTGAACGTATATGCGTTAATTTTATTTCATCAGAAATCCAAAGGTTTCCGGTGTTTTAAAATCCTCCTTTTGACAGATTTCGTGAAGATGTCATTATGTTGTAGTTGTGATCGGCCATCCGTGAAAAGGAGGCGTCAAATGTATTTTGTGGAATCTGTTATAGAGGTTAGCAACGGAAAAAAATGCAAATATCTTAACGCTAATACAAAGTCATGAGCGAAAACGAAGTAAGTGTTCCTTTCTACTCTATTTTGCGGCTCTAAAATGCGAAATAGGGCCTTCATCACGAAGACATCGGATTTCGCCATCTGAAATCTACCCGAGATGACCTCTGTTGTTTTAACATCCTCCTTTTGACAGATTTCGTGGAGGTGTCACTATGTTGTAGTTGTAATCGGCCATCCGTGAAAAGGAGGCATCGCAACAATTTTTTTTGGAGTCTGTAATATAGGTAAGCAACGGAAAAAAATGCAAATATCTTGACGCTAATACGAAGTCATGAGCGAAAACGAAGCACATGTTCGTTTCTACTCTGTTTTGCGGGTCTAATATGCTAAATAGGGCCTTCATCACGAAGACAACATCGGGCGAGCTCGGATTTCGTAATTGGAAATCTACCCGAGATGACCTCCTTCTGACGGATGTCGGAGTACGCTTTCCGTCCTACTGAGCCATGCGTAAACAAGATGAAGTGAGAATATTTTTGCAAGTTCTCCGCAGTCTGTCTTCTCCAATTGCACCGTGCACAGAAGCGTAAACATTATTTTGAACAATCAAAACCCTTGCTAACTTCGGGTCTTTGACTTTTAAACAATTTTTAGTGACACGAGTTCATTTGGCTTTGATTTTCTCCCTTTTCCCCGTAAATTTTGAGCTTTCCATTCACAGTTATCGGTTAACTGGATCAGATGTTCTCGCTCAAACCAAAGTTACTATATACAATTGTTACTATAAATCGTAACAAATACTATTATAGTAACAATTTTGAGCATAATAGCGGAAAAACCGTTACACTTAAGAGACTTATCTCATGCAAAAAGTACAGTAACGTTGGATGTGTCACATTTCGGTTTTAAAAATGGAGGTGAATTGATTATTCCAGAAACAGGTTTTTCTTAGGTTTTTTTCAAAGACAGCTGCAAGGCGTCTGCAATTACTTTAAATCTGAAGCTAACAAATAAAAATATCACAAACCGTTCTAGAATTGTTAATTTTGAAGATACACGGGGTCGTTGGATTGATATATCTTTGTCTCAGGTTGTCGGCTTACCAAAGGGAGCATCCGTAACGCTGGATATGAGCACCGATTTATTCATCATTTTTGACTTTAGACTGTAAAATTATATTTTCAAGTGATTGATTAAAATAATTGAATTCCACTCCCACCCACCTCCCAGGGTTTAAATTCATTCAATTCACTTCAATGGACATTTTGCTTTGACGTCGCATTCTCAAGCGCAAAATAAATGTTAAAAAATTTTATGAGAGCTGCATCAAAGAGTAGACACAAACAGTGGAACCTATAAAAGTGGACACCCATGGAACGCTCGCTACCTTCCGTTTTTCTATAAAAGAGTGAATGGCGCATTTGTAGTGGGTCTTTAAATCCCAGAGGGAACAGTGAAAGTAACGTGCTATTTGTACACATTTTTTTATCATTTTCTTTTTTTTTAATTTGTCAGCTTTTGCTTTAAAATGTTATGCCTGCGTGGATACTGAAGAGGATTGTAAGAAGAGCAAGTTGGAAGAAAACAAAGTCAACTTTTTATACCCGTGTTCAGCTGACGTCGGCGATAGATGCTTCAGGTCTTGGTATAAAAGGAAAAATTACGATGCCATGGTTGCAATTGGATGTGCTAAGCAATCGTTCTGTGACACCCTAAAGTCCGCTTGTGATATAGCGAAAGATGATCCGGACTACCAATGCGAGGTTAGCTGCTGTTCTGAGGACGGATGTAACGCAAGCTCATATTTCACTGCCAACATCATCCTGTTGGCTGTTTCCTCTGTCCTGGGTCTAGCACTGCAGAAGTAAGCCGTGGAAGGCTTTACAAGTCTACTTTTCATTTCGCTTATTGCTCGTTTAAACTTATTTCATACTTAGTTGGCGTGGTCACCTAAAGTTTTAGATGCACTTAGTTTTCAGAACAGTTGGAGCGGCGGAATCTCCCGTCCGCGTTTAGCACTGCTAGCAATTGTTACTACTTTTAAATCGTTTTGCTGGTTTTCATTTTTTGTTTTTCCATTAATATTTTCGAAATCTATTTTCTGTGGCCTAATTTTGAGTGACTGAATAAAAGGGCGTTCACGATCTTTTCATTCTGAAGCCCATGGTACTATTATCATTGTTCTTTTCTATTTCTTTCTCACGTGCATCTTCTAGGGCGCTCATAATGGCCTGGACACGAGCTGTTTGTCCACACACGCCTCGTCAGACGAATACATTACTTACTCAGCAATTAGCATTTTATCTGATGACCGCCGCTGTTTCTCCTTCTTCCTTTCTTTTCTCTTCTCGCCGCGCCGTGCAATGAAACAAGACTTCTTCTCAGGCCCTCTCTGCACCATCGGCCTCAATCTGAGATTTAATGATAACATATTTTTCAAGAAACAAATTTGACAAATAGCAACTGCGGCGTTCATATGACAAAATGGTTATCAACTAAGTTAGATCGGCCGATCATGAAAGTAATTGGTTCTCGGTCATAATGTATAGACCTACGTACCCTCTGCCCTTTTTTTATGACCTCAAGCTTAACATTCCCCAGTCTGGCCCCCCCACCCAATCGCTAACTGCATATCTCTATATGATAATTGGTACTTGGTGATTTCAAAAAATGAATCTAGTTGGTTGGCTATTTTTCGCTAATGAACCTTATTCACCCCTTGGGGCAAAAATGATGTGCTCTTTTGAAACTAGTAAAAACAATAGCTGGGATTAACTCGTATTTCGCTAATGAGGCTATTCAGAAAAATGCAAAACGATAACCAACGTTAGGCTAAGAGATTTCCTACATAAGGCCTATTTTTTCAGTCTCAGTCGTGGGTATATCGTCCGTATCAGCTAAATCAAGTGCGCGCAGTAGCAAAACCTCCACGAGGCTATGCTTTATCGGCATCGCTAAACTATCCTTGTTTCTCAATTCCAGATTTTAATGATCTTATTTTGAAAAAACATTTATCGGCAAGTGGTACTACTGTGCATAGATATAAGTCCTACATATTTCCTTACGTCCATAGATCTTCCAAAATAAGAAACACAAATATTAACAAACATATGTCGTAAAATCTCCAATCCAGGTTTTAATGAAAAAAAAAATGACGAATCAACCAATAGGGCCGTCATTGCGCTCAAACGCACGTTTCTCCGCCATCGGAAGATTTGAGACACCGTATTTCAAAATTTCACTTCGAAATCAAAGTTGATGGTGATGATGAATGTAATCATTGTAACCATAAGAAGCAATTCAAAGACTTGACTGAAAACAATTTCTATTTTTCAAGGTGGGCCGAACGCGAGGAGCCCGGTGTATACTCTACGTCAGCCTCTCGCGGGTGAGACTCTTTTTCAACATGGCGGTATCACAGTGTTTTGAGCAGGGCGGAGAGAGATAGTTATAATAAATAAAGTTGCAAAATTAAGTCGGTTATTTACTGATACTTTTCCTAACCCGTGGTAAATTTCTGATAACATTGCTAAGGACACCAAAGAAATAGGAAAATTTCCCACACACGCACATGGTAAACAAGTGCGACAGTTAGGATTACTTACAGATTCAGAGCTAACTGAAAAATACAAGGGCTCGTTCATTATCTCAAACGCGAAATCCCAACAAGTGGAAAAATTCTCCTTCCGTGCGTGTCTGAAATCTATCAGCTGAACCGTTTGCATGCAAAGCAACTCACTTGAATCATAATGAAATATTATCGTTTGTCTCACCATGTGTTACTTATGATGTGAACCGCGACGTTTCGACTGTATGCTGCTAGTCTTTTCAGGCTATAAGGTTAGTTCTACTGGTTTCGGGTCTTCTTATAAAGCTGGATGCTCCGCTGTGATTGGTTAGTTTTTCTACAGCCGTGATTGACACGTTTCGATCCTCGATGCTAGTGAGTTGTTCTCGTGGCAGTAGTAAAGGGGGTATGTAGGACCGGCATGAAAGCGAGGCTGTAAAATATTTTTTGGATATGTCACACAAATAATAGTCACACGTGAAGAAAAGAAAGGTCCTTTGTGCGAATGGAAGTTTTTTTTAGGCGGGAACTGCCATGAAAGTGGGGCTGTAAGATATTTTTTGGGTATGTCACGCAAATAACAGTCACACATGAAGAAAAAAAAAGTCCTGTGTGCATGTGGTAAGTATTTTTAGGCGGGAACTGACTAGTCGGTTGAAAGTGAGGCTCTATGAAATTTTTGGATTTCACGCAAAAATGTCAAACAAGAAGAAAAAATGGGAAACCACGTTATACGTCTGAAGTGCCTAACCATGACTCAAAATTTTTAATGGGTTCTTCTTAGACGTTTCAGTGCAGTCACTGTTGTGACACCACTGAATCTGTCTTGTCAATGATGTCGTGTCCAAAATGTAAACATGCCGCTGTATCTGTTTACACACGTGTTTCACTTTATTGAGATAGGAAAAAAGATCCGAGCGCATGGGCACGATTTTGAAGAAGTCGTGCATGCGTATGACAATTGGAAGAATCCGATGAGAGATGTCACTGATTTGATCGGACAACTGGAAGCGTTGACAGGTGTCAAATATTCGCCTCAATGGTATAATATTCTCGAAAGAAACAGGAGACACACCTTGGACCACTAACTGTTTACATGTAAAGGCATGCGTCAGTTATTTGTTTACTCATTGGTTTTATTTTATTGAGATTGGTAATCCACCCACCCTAAAAAAAAAGATACATGCGTGTGGGCACGATTTTGAAGAGGTCAGGGTCTAGTTGGTTTTTATTTTATTGAGATTGGAAAAAAGATATATGCGTGTGGGCACGATTTTGAAGAGGCATGCGTATGATAATTGGAAGAATCCGATGACAGGAGACACACATTGGACTAAAAAGAAACCAATAGAAAAACAGAGAAGGATTGAATATAAGAGCGACAACATTGTAGTGCGGCATTCATTTTTCGAAAACAAGATGTGTGATGTGAGAGACAATCCTCGTTGGGCTTTGAGTCATGTAGATGATATGTTGGATATCTTGGAGAATCATGCAGACGAGTGTGCTAAAGATAATCTTACGTCATCATGAAAAAAGCAGTGAAACAATTCGTTTAAAGCATAAACACGATTCATTGTTTAAGGTTTTCACTGTTTGATATTGATTGACACAAGATGTACAATAGAATTTCTTTTCAAGTTCCCTCACCCTTTTGCACCAAACATCACGGTTCCATTCTAGAGTACGACATCTTTCTTTCCATAACTCTACCGATTTATTAGCTTCGATCAATAATTGCTTGATCTCACTCTTGAAGTCTCTGAATGATGTGATCTATCTGTCGAGGAAGATAGTCTTTTCTGAGATACATCGCTCGTACCCTCCATCGGACTTCTGAGGTGATCTCTTGACATCTTTGACATGATTTACATTGATGACAAGTACAAGTAAAATCGTAAGGATAGATGGATTCGGGCATTTACTTCTTAGGAGTGACAATCTTGTAAAGTGGTTGTTTCAAAGCCGGTATATGTTTCAATAAAGAAATCACCGTCGTATTCTTTCGAAGACAAAGTCCTTGTGGTCCTTGTTGTTTCTTTTTGACAAAATTTTTAGGATCCCAAGTCGTGGTAGACTTTGTCTTGGGAGACGGCTTCGCCGTCTTCTTCTGGCTCTTGGGATTCTTCTTGGCGGGGGCTCCGGAGGCAGGACGCGATGAACTGTGGCTTTTTCTTTAACGCGAAGGTTCATTAAACACAGCTGGATCGTTCTCGTCCAATAAGACGTTCATACGTGCCGCTTCTTGTAATTCAGGATCGTTTTGCACTTGAGCTGTCACGTCGCGTATAATATTGTCAAAGGCTGGTTGGGTTGTTTGCATTCCCGGCGTAGGTGCCCCCGCGTCAAATTTGGTATCGTTGGAAGCGGTTGAGATGAGAATAATTATACACGTCGGGACATTTTTTGTCGTCTTTATAGACTTTTTTTAACGGACATGTCTAAAATGTAATGTGAGAATGGAGGCGCCGTCGATAAACTGAGCCAGATTGTTGTTTTCCGATTCACTCATCTGTATTTCGATTTCGTCAATGTAATTGTTTCGCAGAGGAATTCATTGGATCTTTTTGGGTTCGTAGTAATAACTTCCTTCTAAGACAGGGTGATAATAATTCTGTCGCAACAGGCCGTCGTCTGATCACCCATGAGGACGGGAACACCAAACGAGGCACGAATCTTTTGCTAGCACGCTCTACCTGTACTCGTCTCTCTGTGCTCTGAGCAACTTTATTTTCATATTATTTTATCATATACGTCACTTTTTCTTACACGCGACTTAATTTTTTATCAGATCAGATCTTACACGCCTGAATATGATTTACGAGCTGTAAACTGGATGTGTTCTTATGCACTGAATCATCGATTTGTCAAGAATACCATTCAAAGTTACATCTACGCTATAAAGTTATACTTACATCAAAATTTTTTTTTTATTTATTATTAGTACATGTCAAACTTTGTGATGAGTTTCAACAACAATTTTCAGAAACCTGTGGTACAAATCCTGAAACCGCCTTTTATGATTTAGTTTTTGATCATCTAGTATCACCTTGCATTAATGAGCTTCTTGGATTATATTCATAATATCATCGAGGAATGCGATGTTATTCTCATGTAAACTTTTTTATGGGAGTGCGATTATTTTCACTCGATAGATATTATCTTCATTAAATTAAATCATTTTTTCTTTTAGATCAGTACTAGAGAACGTCATGCTATTCACGAATTATTATTTTGTATTTTATTGAAAATAAGAAGGAGAGGCATGAATCTAGCTTTTCAATTTAATAACGTAGAGTTTTATATCAAAGTGAATCGTGTTTATGCTTTAAACGAATTGTTTCACTGCTTTTTTCATGATGACGTAAGATTATCTTTAGGATATAACACGATGTTTGAATTCATTTTACATGTAAATAATATGGTAACCATTTGTACTTTTTGACTTTTTTAGATGAATGTAAACCACTTATACCACCCTGAAGAAATTGAAGATCTTTACGCAATATTCTGT